CAACAACAACAAAAAAAAAAAAAGCAGAAAGAAATCCTCTTACCTCCTCAGCTCTAGCATCTGGAGGTTGAGTATATAGAACCTTCTCTTAACCCCATATTGGATTGCAGCAGCCTGCCTCATCATCACTTTATGCAGGGTAAACATCAAAACTGGTTCCCCACTGCAACAGAACTCTGCATGAACCCAGTAATTTCTCAGATCTGATAGGTAAAATAAAGTATGTGGCTTTTCACTTCCTTTCCCTTCTTCCAACCCCAAACCATGTTTTCTGGTGGCATTTATTCACACAGATAATCTCACAGCTTTCTGGCGAGTAAGGAGTGTTGCCTGCCATCTGGGTTCTCTGGCTTTGGAAATCAGTGGGACCTCGGGACTGCCTTAGAAATGCTGCTACAGAACAATTTGAGGAACTGGCTCCAGGACATCTGTGAGGGATCACTTCATGCAGGTGCCTGATGTACTCATCATATATATCACCCAGAATTATTCAAGCAATAATTCAGACTTGCTGTGATTTAGTGTTACAGAGGGGTGTATGGTGGAAACACCCCTGTGTTTCAGTGTGAATGCAGTGAGTGAAGCAATAGGGACCAGAGTAAGGGAAGCCATTTAAAATCCAAAGTTCACTACTATTGTTACACTACATGAAATGGTTATCATCAGTTGTTCAGTTTTCCTTGCTCAATAAACCAAAACTTTCCTATAGGTTTCTCTGTTGACAGACATAATTAAGCCTCAGAAATTACCTATCTGTCCTGTTTATACCTTAGTTTGTATAGCTTTAAATTTCTTTGCTTATAATACATACTTAGTCACACGTAGATTTTTATGCCTATCATCCCAGCTACCAGGGAGGTATAACTAGAAGTTTCAGGCCTTGGAGAAAAGCAGGACTCGAATACAAAAATAAAAAGGGCTGGGGTGTAATTCAAAGGGTAGAATACCTGCCTATAAGGCCATGAGTTCAAACTCCAGTACTTCCCAAAAAATAAAATCAGTTATCACACTTAAAACTTTGAAACTGGTTCTTACTACTGTATATCATAAATCCTGTTAACCACATGTTGTTTGCTAGCTCAGAAATAACAAATGGAGGGTGCTTGTCCTAACCTGACTTGTGTTCCCTCTTTTTGATGTGGAACATATGTGGAGCAGTCAGCTAGGTAAAGGTCTTATCAATAAGATGCTGTTTGACACTTGGCTTTTTGCTTTTGTTGCCATGCCACTTACCATATGGTAAAGAATAAAAGCCTCTTGTCTTTTCAGGATTGAGGTTTGAACCAGTGAAAAGTTTCCTCTTGCTTGTGATTTGTACATTGCAGACTTTTATGATGTGTTTTCAAATTCTCTAGCATATAGATTGATTTAAAATCATCCTTATTAGTGTTACTTTTAGCGGTATTTTCTGCAGAAACATGTTAAATATCAACTCTGGAGTATTACTGTTTTTTAGTTAAGTAGAAGTTATTTGAGCCTGTAGTTTTCTTTGATACTCAGTTTCAGGATTGAAATAAAGACTTTCAGTCCCTTTCAATGTATAATTGTGATTATTCTTTACGAAAAAGATAGAATAAGTAAAAACATATTAAGAGCTAAGCCCAGCCTCCATAGGCTGAGGCAGAAAGATCATAGGCCCAGCCAGAAGTTAGAAGCCAGCCTGGGTTACACAGCAAAACTTTGTCACAGAGGGAAAAAAAAAAGCACATTACAATTAAAAGTACACAGATAAAATGTCTCATAACTAACAATATGTAAAAGGATAAAGAGGAAACAAGGAGCCTGAGGAATTAATCCCAGCTGTTCAGGAAGTAAGATTAGGAAGACCAAGGTTCAAGGCCAGCCCAGGGGAAAAAAATTTTGATCTCATCTCAACTAATAACTGGGCCTGGCATCAGTGGTTCACCCCTGTAATCCTAGCTACTCAGGAATCTGAGGTCTGAGGATCATGGTTAGAAGCTCACCCCAGCAGAGAAGTCTATCAGACTGTAATTAACCACCAGAAAACCAGAAGTGGAGCAGTAGCTCAAAGTGTAGAGCACTAGCCTTGAGCAGAAGAGCTCAGGGACAGCAACCAGTTCAAGCCCCAGGACTAGCACTCCCCACCCCCCCACCCCCAAAAAAAGTTTTTAATTCTTTAGGTTAGAAATATCTCATTTAACAGAGCTCAGTGTGAATTTTTTTTAAGCCTCCGTGTGAGGATATGCGTCACTTCTAGCTGGCTGGCTGGCTTATTTCACATAATGTCCTCCACTTTATCCATCACGTAGTGACCTTCTTAGTCTCACATTTTTTTTGTCTTAAGGGTCTGTTTTGTCAGATAAAAGTATAGTTATTTCTGCGTGTTTTGATTTGAATAGAATATCTAGTTTTCCATCCTTCCACTTCCACTCTGTTTCTTTACTGGTAAAATGGGTTTCTTCTAGGCAGCATATTGTTTTGCTTTGATTCATTGTTCCATTTGATCTAATCTGTTGTTGAGTCCTTCAACTGTATTTTTTTGAGTTTGGTTCTTTTGCACATCTTTTTCTTTTATAGCCTGTATTATCTTTCTATCATCTCTGTTCTGGATTTCATTGCACTATTTCATAATCATTCATTTGTTTATTCAGGCTAGTACCAGGGTTTGGACTCAGGGTTCATATACGATCAGCTTGCAGCTAGTGCTCTACCAGACCTCCACCCTGGAGTTTTGCTGGTTAAATGGAGTCTCAAGGACTTCTCTACCCACATTTGCTCTAAACTACAGTCCTCTGGATATCAGCCTTCTGAACAACTAGGAGTAGAGAGAGGTGTGAGCCACCTGTGCTAGCTTCTTTTAAATTCTAAGACTTTCATCCATTTTAAATTGTTTGGAATATGTTACTAAAGAGTTTATTTTTTGAAGGCATCCTATTGCTTTTTTTCTCTGTGTTCCTACATTGGGATTTGCACTCTGGTAGACAGATTTCTCAGCCAGTTTTATCAATAGCCTTCTCAGTCAGCATTTTTCTCTTAAAGCTATGCCTTGGGGTTTGGGTACCAGTATGCTACACACTGTTGGCTTTCATGGTAGTTAGGTGCCATAGTGTACCATCCTTACGAATTCCTGGGCAGTGATCCTGACAGTGTATAATGTGTCTGAAGAACACAGGAGTGGAGACACTGGCAATTTAGGCAGATGTGCTGTTAAATGCAGTGGGTATGGGATGCTTTCTGTGTGGCAGCTCCTACAACATAGGAGTGGGGGCTTCCTCGGTGCCAGAGCCAGGGCTTGTGGCATTACAAGAGACCTTGTCCTCTGACCTAAGGAGGACATGAGGAGACATGTTAACAGGAACTGCAGCACATCTGCTGTGGTGATCGTGCTGTCCTGACAGGGTGTGGGCAGTGCAGGGCAGCGGTGGGAGCAGTGTAGGAGAGACTGCAGCAGCAACCATACGGCTTCCCTCTGCTTCCCACAGATGGAGTGGTGGTACTCTCCAGGCCTTCTTCATGCACTCCAGGGACAGGGCAGAGGGAAGTGCCCAGAGTTCCCTGAGACCCCCTTAGCATGTCCCTGTAGGCAAAGCAGCAGTGCAAGTGTGACGTTCTCCTTTCCTGTCTCATCAGTAACAGGCACCTGAATGCCTGTCTTGAGCCCTAGCATGGCACACATCTATGTGCAAGCTGGATACATCCTTTATCTCAGAAAGCAAGCACCCTGGTCTCCCAGTTACTTGGACAATTTCAGATTACTTAAGTGGGCTTGCCAAGCCTGGAAGATTATATAAGCTTTTCAATAAGGAATGGTAGATAGTGTCTGCACTGATAAAGTTTTGTGGGACTCCTCCCCTATCTGTGGAATTGGAGTGGCAAATAAAGTATTTGGGTTTTCCTACTATTCTATTTGCCCAAAGAATCTGAATCTTCCAAGATTCCATTCTCTTGCTGATTTCCAGTATTGATTCTTCCATGGTCACTCATCTGAGAATGCAGCTAACACTATTTCTTTAGTTCTTTATAGCATAGAAAGTGAGTGTCAGGCATTTACTTAACAACCTTGAACCTATGCATTGCCCTTTTTTGGGGTGATACCAGTGTTTAAACTCAGATATTCTGCTCACTACCCAGGTGTTCTACCACCTGAGCCAAAACTCCATCCTTCATTGCTGTTAGTTATTTTGAGATAGACCCTCATATTCTAGCTTGGACTATGGTTCTCCTTTTTAAGCTTTCGACATAGCTGGAATGATAGGTATGAACCTCCATGCCTAACCATTGGTTGAGCTGGAGTCTTTAAGTTCTTGCCCAGGCTGCCCTCAAACCACAGTCCTCTCAATATCCACCTCCAGAATAGCTGGAATAGCAGCTATGAGCCACTACACCTGGCCTTGCTTACTCTTAAAAATCTGAACAACTTAAGTAGCTGAAGTGGCAGGGTAGTGGCCAGGCCTACAGTGTGTGACAGGCCCTGGGTTCTAAGGGGGTGGTGGAGAGGTAATAAAAACCTTGACTATTCATAGTTCAGTGAAAATTAAAGAATCAATCCTCACAGTATTTCAGACTGGGTAGAGAAAAGCTTATTCTGAAATTGTTGTAAATGCCTTATGAGATGTAATTTAGTGTTTTTAAAAATGTTTTCGTTTCATTCAAAAAGTAATCTTGCCTTTTACTGTCTTTAGTCAGGTGATTTAATCCAGACATTAGGCATAAGTGTTTCCAACTAACCTGAGCCCCTCTCTACACTGCCATTCCCGAAGTGGAAGGAGGGAATTCTTCCTTTTATTCCCCGCCTTTTTTCCTAAGAGAAATTTAGCCGTTTTTGCTGCCATGATGTTCATCGTTACCTGAGTAGATCCAGTCTTTTAGATTTCCATACTTAACATTTGTTTGATCTTTCAGCCTTCAGACTTCTCCACCTTTGCTAGTCAAGCTTCTTCTCTGGGACTTAGGTTAAAGAGACAAAGCCCTCCTTAGCTGAAGATGGAAGCCTCCAGGTCTTTGCATATGCATCCACTTAGTATTTTTGGTCATTTCAGACTGACCCCAGTTCTTGGAATTCAGAAGCATTCTCCAAAGAATATGGTTTTTACACAGTTTATTACCACCTTGCTTGAAGAATTACATTTAAAGAATGAAGACCTTGAGAGTTTAACCATCATATTTAGAATGAGCTGTTAACCAGAATGGTGAGTTGGTTTTACTTTTTATATTGGACTGTGTGAGGGGAAAGGGAGGGGGGGCCTCCTGCATAATAGGCAAAATACTCTAGCAGCCCCATATTGGAAATCATTTTTTTTTTGAGGCAGGTCTCAGGCTCTATAGCCAGGCTAGTCTTGAACTCATACTCTTCCTACTCCACTTCCCTAAGTGCTAGGATTACAGGTATGAACCACCACACCTCTTTGCTTGTTTGAAATTTTAAGAACCAAGAGCAGACCTCAAGGTGCCCTCAGCTTACTGCGGAAGGATGGGGTTTCCCACGGCCTCAGTAACTTCCTATCTACTGCTTTGTGTCCCATCCTGTTGCTGTTCCTCCTTTGTAGGCTCTTGTAGTTCTGTTTCTTGCATTCCATGGCCATTCCACTCTTCCCAGGAAGTAGCAATTAACTTTACCCGACTACTGCAGTGATGATGGAACATTCTTATTCTGCTGCCCCTTTCAGTGAAATTACCCTTGTCCCAGCCAACGCCTCCATCATCCCATATGCAGATAAACAGGTGAATTTACAGGTCTGCTCTTGTTGGTTCTTAATCCTGATCCCAAATGCATAGCTCTCTCCTAACGCCTTGCCTCTTTAAGAACTGACCATCACAATGTCTTCTAAGTCTTCCTTTCTTTCTGCATCCTCATTTCACATACTTCCATGTACTCAGTTATGGAATTGATTACTGAAGAGATTTGGTCAAAATTTACAAACGAGATCCTTCAGGAAGCATTTTTTCTTATTGAATATATTTTTTGTTTTTGTTTTTTTGGGTCCGGTCATGGGGCCTGAACTCTGGGCCTGGGCCCTGTCCCTCAGCTCTTTAGCTCAAGGCTAGCGCTCTACCACTTGAGCCACAGCACCACTTCCGGCTTTTTTCTTTTTGCTTATGTGGTGCTGAGGAATC